TGTATATTGCTTCTATATTTTACCTAAAGCCTTTCTTTTTTCTTATACATGACTTATATTTTTACGCATTGCTATTATTTCAGCGTTACTTCTATTACTAAATTTACTCAGTATTATATTCAGCATTTTTTTTCTTTATGCATTATTTTTGTTTCCTTTTCTTAAAATTAATTTTACGCATTGAATTTATTTATTTCGATATCCCTTACTGTACATTTTACGTGTTTTTTTTTCTTAAAAAGTTATGTTTGAAAAGTTATGTTTAACTTTTAAAATTTATTGTACTTTTCACGTTGTTTTTTTTTCTTAACTTAAAGCGGTTTGTTTTTTTATACTTTACTTTTACGCATTGCTATAACTTCTAGATGGCTTTTACTTTAATGCGCCACATTTATACTTTTATTAAATTTACTCCTTATTATATTTTACGCTTTTTTTTTCTTTATGTAATACTTCTGTTTCCCTTTCTTATCATTAATTTAAGCATTGCTTTTAATTATTTCGCTATCCTTCACCATACATTTTACGGTATTTTTTCTTTATGCCCTATATTTACGCTTCTCCTCTTCTTAAGCGTTTATTTTTCACGTTTACTATTTTTGTGCATTATTTTTTAACCGCTAAATTTATATTTTTTTACTTAAATAACGCACTACCTACTTTCTACTATTTTGGGCATAGCTTTTATACTTTACTCAAAGCGTTTTTTCCTCTTGTACATAGCTGACATTTTTATAAGCTGCTTTTATTTCCCCGTTTTTTTATGCGCCACATTTACTCGTATGCCCGTTTATTTTTATTACGCATTAGTTGCTCGGTAATTTTTCTTATACCTTACTTTCACTTTTAAGAGTTGCTCGATTCTTCACTCCATACTTAACTCTTTCCTTTATATTTTACTCGTTACTCTTCTCTATGCATTCCTTTTCATTTAGTGTCTACTGCACCCTACTTTAACGAGTGTTAGTCCCGCAGTAGACTTGATCGTAAAGACACGATTTTCTGCAAAATACCGAAGTTAAGCATCACTGGCTGCCGTCAGCAAGCGGGTGGGTGACCACTTTGATCACCCTGCTTAGGGAGTGCGGTATCAGAATTTTTCTACCTTAAAGTGTTCGCATGCAGGTCAAATGGATACCAAAGCTAAGGATCATATGTAAAATGAAAGTAATGCAATAGGAAGTAAACGTGTAAGGCGTAGAAATAAAGCGCAAAACTGACATATGTTTAAAAAGTAGAAGTAACGTGTAAGAAAAGTAATGCGACATGTAAAACATGGAAGAATATGAGTTATGCATAAGATGAGTAACGCGCAAAATGTAATAACGTGTAAAAAGAAAGTTGAACATAGCATCTTTATGCGTCAGAAAATTAAACGCGTAAATGCAACGTATAAAAAGTTAGCTCGTAAAAATAACACATAAAAAAATTGCAATGATGTAGACACTTAAAATTAACACATAAGTAAAGTTACAACAGAAAACCCTTAAATGTGACGCATGAAGAAAATTAAAGTGAATAAGGAGTAAAAATTGAAAAAACGCATAAATCAAAAAGAATATGAAAAACATTAAGTAAGGCATTAAATATAATACTGTGCAAAATTTGAAATAACGCATAAGACAAAAAACACGTTTAAGTCACGCATAGGAAAAGTAATAATAATCCATAAAATGTGAATGCGTAAAAACGAAACATAATGTAAGACACAAAACTTAATTTCAAAAACGCAAAAGAAAATTAAATTCGTAAAAGAATGCACAAAGAAAAGTAATGCGCAAAATATAATAACGCATGAAATTAAAAGCAACGTACAAGACAAGGATGCGCGCAAGAGTAGGTCAATCAAACATAAAAAGTAAAGCACACGAGAAAAAAAAGTTCTTAAGAAAAGTAAACACCTAATGATAATAAAAACACGCGTAAATATATCGCATAGGTTAAGTAACGTATGAGAAAAGAAAACGAGAAAAATTAAAAGTAACGTATAAAGAAATTAAGCGTGTAAAAGTGTTGCATGAGGAAAGCAACTCATAAATTATAATGAATACTGCGGGAAAAAAATGCATACAACATATGTAACAGTAGCGTAGATATTAAGTGTGTCATTGAGAAAGGAAAAGTATAAACAGAATAAATTAAGTTTTCAAAAAGCAAATTAACGAGCAAAAGAAATAATGCCTATACTAAACTGCAATGTTTCTTGACAATGGAGAAATATGCTGAGGGAAAACGAAGAAAATAGTTCCTGGCGCGATGTCTGTATTTCGAGGAAAATTACGCATTTCACAATAGAAATATGATAAGTTATCTTAACCCACACATATATAGCGTTAATTTGCTATAATTTTCTTAAAATTTTATATATTTTCAGATTTACGAGCGGCGCATCGCGGAATGGTATCTTTATTTAGTTATATTTCTTCTATATAACGACTGAACTTATTTCTCCTTCTTCCTCCGCCAGCCGTGACGTCATTGTCAAGAAACTTTGCATTCTAGTATAGACGCAATTTTTCGCACTTTATTTATTTTTGCGCGTTGACATGTTATCTGTTACTTATTCTTAAGCGATACTTATCTCGTGCGTTACGTTTAAGAGTTATATTTTCCGAATTTATACTTCTTATAAATTACTTCTTTTTCTTATGCACAATTTAACGCGTTACTTTATCTTCACTAGTTTGTTTTTTCAAATTCACTATTGTCTTGGATTTTATTAAAATTTTATTGTAATTTCTATTATTCGTTTATTAATTTATGCCTTACTTTTCTTGTACGAGTCTACTCATCTTAGGCGTTACTTTTCAGTTCTTACTTTTGTTATGCTTCACTTTGACTTGTTTTCTTTAAGTGACAGTTATATTTTTCGCCCTACTTTTTTGTGCGTTAGTCGGGTGTAAATTAAAGCACGAAAATATGAGTAACTTATTTTACTTTTCTCTATGCTTTACATTTACACGATTACTTTTATTGGTGTTAATTATCAATATGCAACAATTTAATTCAATGACATTTTTTACATTAAAAGCTTGACTTCACGCGTTAATTATTGAGATGCTTTTTTATTTTACTCGATTTCTTCTCTTTACAAAAATAACTTCTATAAAACTATAAACAAAATATGGCTTTAATATACGTTTGCTCTTTTATGCATTGATTTTAAGCTTTATTCTTTAAAACGTTACTTTTACTTGTTACACGCATTGCATGTTCTTATTTTACCAGTACTTTTACACGACGCTCTACTAAATTTTTAACTCCATATTTTAATGCTTGCCTTTACTTTTAATTTTACTAGTTTGTTTTTCTCACGCGTTACTTTACTTCTTAGTGTGTTAAGGCTAATTATGCCACAAGGCATAAATATACAGTAACGTATAAAATTAAAGAGAAAATGAAACACATTAGGTAAGGCATGAAATATAATATTGTGCGAAATTAAAGGTACCGAGTAAGAAAAAAAAATATGTTTAAGCAACGCATAGGTAAAGTAAAAATAACCCGTAACATGTAACCGAGTGAAAACGAAACAGAAAGAAATGTAACTCACAAAACGTAATGTTAAAAACGCATTAGAAGATTAAGCTCGTAAAAGTATGCATAAAGAAGAGTAATGCGTAAAATATAATAACGCATGAAATTAAAATAACGAATAAATCAATCAAACATTAAAAGTATGGCAGACGAAAAAAAAAGAATAGTTCTTGAGAAACGTAAACACGTAAAGGTAATGCATAATAAAACACGCGTAAATATATTGCATAGGATAAGTGAAAGTAACGCATGAGAAAAGTAAAAGGAGAAAAATTAAAAGTAACGTTTAAAGAAATTAAACGTGTAGAAATATTGCATGAGGAAAGCAACTCGTATATTATAATGAATATTGCGAGAAAAAAATGCATTCAATATATGTACCGTGTAAAAAGTAACGTATATATTAAGTGACTCATTGAGAAAGATAGAGTAAATTAAGTCAGAAAATTAATGTTAAGCAAATTGCGGCGCAAAAGAAATAATGCATACTTTACTTTTAAGCATAATCGCATTTTCTCGCTCTTTGATATGTTATCTGTTATTTATTCTTAAGCGATACTTGTCTTATGAGTTACGTTTTATATTTTCCGAATTTATTCTTATGAATTACATCAAATTTTTTTATGCGCTACTTTTTTCGTATGCTTTACTTATGCATAATTTTAGGAGTTACTTTTCTTTGAGTTTATTTTTACAAATTTACTACAGTCTTGCATTTAAAAAAAATTATAAGTTGTATTATTCGTTTGTGCCTTACTTTTCTTTCACGAGTGTACGCATCTCATGCGTTACTTCTAAGCTTTTACTTTTCTTATATTGCGAGTTACATTTTTGCCTTACTTTTTTATGCATTAGTTGGGTGTAAATTGAAGCATGATAATATTCGTAGCTTATTTTAAAAGATATTTTTTCTCTATGCCTTACATTTACATGATTACTTTTATTACGTGTTAATTGTCAAGATGCTACAATTTAATTATATGACATTTTTTACTTTTGGCGATTTTTATTTTAAAGGATAGACTTCACGCGTTAATTGAGATGCTTCGCTTTACAAAAAAACTTTTATATATCAATAGACAAAAAATGGCTATATATACGTTTACTCTTTAATGCTTTGCTTTTACTTGTTACACGCATTATAATTTCTTATCTTACCAGTACTTTATACATGATGTTGTACTTGCCCTTCCTTTTAATTTTACTTACCTCATGCGTCTCCATTACAGATTATATTTTGAGCATTAATATTTGTAATTTACGTGTTTACTCTTATTATGTGTGTTTTCACTTATCCCATTCATTAATTACTTTTTATAAGCTTCTTTTAATTTTGCCCGATATTATATATTACGCTTTACTTATCTTTATAACTTTATTCTCTCGCTAATTCACGAGTTTTAAGTTTACTTCACTTAAGTCTGTTTAGCTTGTGTCTTACTGTTTCACTATTGTTTACAGGAACCATATTTTTCTTATAATTATTATACAGTTTGTACAAGCACTTACTAGAATATTAGTATTTACCAAACTAATTGCCTGTTTAGAGTGCTACTTTTTACTTCGCAATAAGTCAATTTGTAACCAATGCTCAGATGTAATTACACAATGACTGAAATAGTATCTCTCTTTTCTAACTAAGCCAATTTTTTAAAAATTTTATGCCATTTGATTGCCTCAATATAAGGGTCTGTTGAACTAGAATGGCAATTTATATTTAAATTTGCTTCTAATATTGCTTGTGCTTTTAATCCATACTTTAGGATCTGCTGAACTGGACTTTTCATGACATACATGACTGATATATTTGTCATGTTTTCTTAAAGATATAATATTCTGACTAATTGTAGATGGCTAATTTGGTTCAACAGTCTTGATCGCCCGCAAAGTTTACGAGCTGTTGTCATATGACTTTTGTATTTTATGCACTTTATGTTCTTTACTTAGTTGTAATTAGCATTTATCCTTATGCCCTGAATTGGGGCAGGACGGGGTAAATATTTTCATCTCTTATCTGACTAAGCATGTTTACTTGTAATAAATCAACAAAATTAGAAAGTGTATTTCAATTGAATTTTATCTTACAAAAATTAGGTAAATTTTACTTTATAAAGCAATTAACTGAGATTTCGATAAAATTAAGATTCAATTAATAGTTTACGATATGAATTTTCAATTGTATTTTAGTTTCAGGAATATAACATTTGTGTTTTACTCTTACTTTTAGAACCTTATTTCATGCTTTTGGGGGTAAAGAAAGATACACACACGCCATACATTTTAATTACATTTGCAAGAATCAGTTGTAAGATACTTGAAAAATAAATTTACATTTAAATAAGATAACTTCGCAGACTTAACATATTTCAGTCCTTTTTATGTATACACGAAAGATATGCGATTACTTCATCAAAAATAGTCTTCTTTCAACGAAACTTACTCGCTCAAATCTGTCCAGTGACTTGAATTGTTCGCCATCGTAACACTTGGAAATTCTTTCAGTTTCTTGAAGATCTTAAATTGTTCTTGCATAAATAGGAATAATTGCATAGGAGCCAATTTAAAGTACGATGGAGACTGTAACGGACACTACGAGGATAGTATAAGCTGAATCATAATGCAATATAATCTTCCAAATAGTTCTGCGACTTATCGATTTTAACAATCACTTCTACAAATCGATATCTTTTAAGATCCTGTAATAAAAAGTGCACTATTTAACCTCTTTATAACATGCTCTTACAAATTTTACTGTTAAACTATCAGTTAGAAATGTTTTTTTTTTTAAAACTAAAACAATTTTTATTAAAGAGATGTAAATTCGTAGTTTATTATTATTTTTTTTGTCCGACTGAATGTAGTGAAGAGCATTATTACGCTTGTTCAAAGATCTAATGATTTTTTTTTTGTTTAACTAATTATTCACCAAATTTAATTAGATATATTTTTTCTTTATGCGTGGCATTTTTATGTTTTTAAACCTAACATTTAATCCTTTCCCCTACATTTTACTTTTCATTTAGCGGTATCTAGTTAACCTTTACTTTTAAGTTTTATATTTTTCGCGTTTACTTTTTCAATAACTACTTTAATTTTTCTTCTGTGTTACTATTAGAGTATGATTTTCTTACACATAACTATAACGCACAATACTTCCTCTTAATGCGCTATTGACTTTTATGTATTACTTTTCCGTACGCCTTACTTACCTTAAGAGTTAATTTTAATTTCGAGATTTGCCTCGTTTCACGCTTTACTTTCATTTATGCTTGACTTCAATGCCTTTTCATTTTTCAGACGTCACTTTTACTCATTACATTCCTTATATTAGGCGGACCGGAAAGTAGTGTTTCGGGGCATTAAATATTCGTTAGTCTTAAAAAGCAATTCGTTTCTTTTCGATCCGGCATTGAAAGCTTGTTGCTAACGAGGGTGAATACTTTATTGATTAAAAAGAAAATCTAGATAATAAATATCAAAATCACCAACACTACGTTACTTTCCAGTCCCCCTTATATTTTAGGCTCTAATTCTCTTAATACTTTACTTTCTCTTATAATTTTTACTCCTTACTTTTCTTAACTTTTCTTATTTTAAACAGCATTTACTGTACATTTTTTCCTCTCTTTTATTTTATACGTTACATTTACACTCTTACTTTTCGATGAGCTTTTAACTTGTTTATTTTTTATGCGTAACTTTTCAGTTTTCCATTTTCTTTAAGCTTTTCATTTCTTTAAGCTTTCCATTTCTTTAAGCTTTGCTTTCACGCTACGGCATTTCTTTGACGTGTAATCTAATTTTATGGATTATTTTTCTTTATTTGGTACTTCTACGCGTTTCACCTTTTAATGCGTTACTTTTTTCTTATAATATGCATTATAATTTACGCGATGTTTTTTAATGTGTTACTTTTACGCAATTGTTTCTCATATACGATTTTTTTACGCGTTGCTTTTCTCTATGCGAATGAGTTATTTTGATACGTTTCATTGTTACGTAACTTTCAAACGTTATTACTTAACTTTGTTGCGTGTTATTAAATTTTGTGAATTCCTTTTTTTCATGCGTTACGTTTTTTCTGCATTATTTTTTACTTTCCTTCCGCATTACTTTAAGTGTTATTTAATTTTATGAATTACTTTTCTTTATGCGTTACATTTAGACATTAAATACTTTCACATAACTTTTCTTAAGTTTAAATTTACTTTTTTTATGTGTTATTTATTTATACGCGTATACTTCTTCAAGCGTTAATTTTTATGCCTTATTTTACAAGATCTATGTATGCATTTTATCTTATGTGTTTCTTTTTATTTAGAGTTGCATTTACGCCTTGACTTTCTTTACTTTATTATGCCTTAATTTTAAGCGTTGCTCCTTTTCATTCTTTTCTCCACACTTTATATTTTACGCGTTACTCTTCTTTATAGTTACGCATTTACTTTCCTTACGTGTCTCTTACTTTTAAGCGTTATGATTTAATACGAATTAATTTTTTTTAAATTCGTAACATTTACTTTTCTTCTAAGTTACTTTTAAATTTAAGCGTTAATTCATTTTATGCGTTTTTTTTCTTTATGCGTTATTATTGTTTTCTTTTCTCATTACTTTTACGTGTTGCTTTTAATTATTTGCGCTATCCTTTACTCTACATTTTACTAGAATTTTTTTCCTTTATGACGCATATTTACACTTCTCGTCCTAAGTGTTACTTTTTGTCCATTTTTTTTAAACGTTATTTTTTTTAAATTTAATTTATAAACACTATCAACATTATATTTTATTTTTCTTATGCTCTATTTTTTCGAATCCTCACGCATTTATTTTTCACACCCATAAAAAAGTTATGTTTAACTTTTACACTTTAGTTAGCACGTTGCTTTTATACTTAACTTAAAGCGTTTTTTCTTCTTCTTATACATGACTTTTACTTTTGTACGAATTGTTTTTAACTTATTTGCTTTTATTACGTGTTACTTTTATGCACTGCATTTATTCGTTTCTACGTGTATTCTATTATAAATTTACGCATTGTTATATTTTACGTTTGTTTACTTCGTCAATTACTTTTGCTTCATTTTCTTATGCAATACTTTTAAACATTGCTTTACTAGTTTACGCAATTCTTTACTGTACATTTTATGGTTTTTTTTTCTCCTTTATGCACTATATTTAAGTTTCTCCTCTTCTTAAGCGTTACTTTTTCACGCTTATTTTCTATGCATTATGTTTATACGTTAATTTTTTTTTATACTTAATTTACACACTATCTGCTTTATATTTTATTTTCTTACGCGCTATTTTTAATTTTCTTACGTGTTAATTTTTGGTCTCTCCTTACGTATTTATTTTTCTTGCGCATAAAACGTTTTGTTTAGCTTTTACAATTAATTGTATTTTGCACGTCGCTTTGATACATTACTTAAAACGTATGTTTTTTTTGCTTCTACATGACTTTTACTTTTCTTATATGTAACTTTTAGGGGCTACATTTATTCGTTTCGGCGTTTATTCTATTAATAAATTTACGCTTTCTTTTCTAAATGCTTTGCTTTTGATTACTTTTCTTGCGCAGTACTTTTATTCATTTACGCTATACTTTACTGTACATTTTACGGGTCTTCAGAAGCTATATTTACGCTTCTGATCTTCTTATACGTTACTTTTTTATGCACTATTTTTACTCGTCAAATTTGTTTTTTACTTAATTAACACACTGTCTACTTCATATATAATTTTTCTTAAACGTTATTTTTTCGCCTTTAATCACGCATTTATATTATTTTATGCATAAAAAGTTATGTTTAACTTTTAAAATTTATTGTACTTTACACTTTTTTTTTTCTTTACTTAAAGCGGTTTGTTTTTTTATACTTTACTTTTACGCATTGCTATAACTTCTGGATGGCTTTTACTTTAATGCGCCACATTTATACTTTTATTAAATTTACTCCTTATTATATTTCAGGCTTTTTTTCTTTATGTAATACTTTTGTTTCCTTTTCTAATCATTAATTTGAGCATTGCTTTATTTATTTCGCTATCCTTCACCATACATTTTACGGTATTTTTTCCTTATGCCCTATATTTACGCTTCTTCTCTTCTTAAGCGTTTATTTTTCACGTTTACTTTTTTTGTGCATTATTTTTAATCGCTAAATTTATATTNAATTTTTTTGCGCCCTATATTTACGCTTCTCCTTTTCTATAGCGTTTTATTTTCACTTTTACTTTTTTATGCATTATTTTTCCCGCTATATTTGTTTTTTTTTATTTAATTAACACAATATCTACTTTATATTTTATTTTTTTTATGAGTTATTTTTTCGCCTGTCATCACGCATTTATTTTTCTTGCGCATTATGCGCCACATTTACTCGTTTCTACGTTTATTTAATACTAAATTTACTCCTTATAATAATTTACGTTTTCTTTTTCTTTATGTAATACTTTTGTTCCCTTTTTTTATAATTAAATTTACGCATTGCTTTTATTTATATCGCTATCCTTTACCGTACATTTTACGTTTTTATTTTTTTTTACGCCCTATATTTACGCTTCTCCTCTTCTTAAGCGTTTTTTTTTTCACGTTAACTTTTTGACGCATTATTTTTCCGGCTATATTAGTTTTTCTTACTTAATTAACACAATATCGACTTTATATTTTATTTTTTTTATGAGTTATTTTTTCGCCTGTCTTCACGTATTTCTTTTCCTTGCGCATAAAAAGTTATGTTTAATTTTACATTTTACTGCATTTCGGACAAAGCTTTTATACTTTACTCCAAGCGTTTTTACTTCTTGTACACGGCTGACATTTTTATACTCGTTTCTACGTTTATTTAATACCAAATTTACTCCTTATTATAATTTACGTTTTTTTTATTCTTTATGTAATATTTTTGTTTCTTTTCATATAATCAATTTTACGCATTGCTTTTATTTATATCGCTATCCTTTACCGTACATTTTTCGTATTTTTTTTTTTTTTTTNCATAATTGCTACACTTTTCTTTTTTTTTTTTTTTTGCGCCCTATATTTACGCTTCTCCTCTTAAGCGTTTTTTTTTTTTCATGTTTACTATTTTATGCATTATTTTGCCCTCTATATTTGTTTTTCTTTGCTTAATTAACACAATATCTACCTTATATTTTATTTTTTCTATGAGTTATCTATTCGCCTGTCTTCACGCATTTATTTTTCTTGCGCGTAAAAAGTTATGTTTAATTTTACATTTATTGTATTTTGGGCATAGCTTTTATACTTTACTCGAAGCGTTTTTTTTCCTTGTACACGGCTGACATTGTTATGCGTCACATTTACTTGTTTCTACGTTTATTTAATTCTAAATTTACTCCTTATTATAATTTACGTTTTTTTTCTTCATGTAATACTTTTGTTTCCTTTTCTTATAATTAATTTTACGTATTGCTTTTATTTATATCGCTATCCTTTACCGTGCATTTTACGATTTTTCGCCTGTCTTCACGCATTTATTTTTCTTGCGCATAAAATGTTATGTTTAATTTTACATTTTATTGTATTTTGGACATAGCTGTTATACTTTACTCAAAGCGTTTTTTCTTCTTGTACATAGCTGACATTTTTAAGCGCTGCTTTTATTTCTTCGTTTTTTTATGCGCCACATTTACTCGTTTCTACGGTTATTTAATACTAAATTTACTCCTTTCT